CCCCGATGATTAAGGCTTCGGTAGCTACAGCCTACGCTGCCCCGGGGACTCTCAGTTTAACGTTCTTATCTGATACATAGGCCTAGTTTGGTTTAGTTGGCTGTATGGGTAACGTCCGTCATTATCAAGTTTAGTTGGCGTGGTTCGATAATTGGGACTACTGAAAACAACAAATAGGGTGGGGTATGCGGGTCATTTGATCTTACTGGAGTGAGTCGCTACCCTAACACAGGCCCGTAGCGTGGGGCGTTAAGGGGGTTACGACGAACCGCCAAAAAACTGGAGACGGTCCGCATTTAAAACGAAATATTGATATTCGTAGATATATTTACAATGTTCTCCAGAGTATCGGAGATCATACAAGCCAAAGGGTCCACTTTCCACTGAAATGAACTTCTCACAAGTTAAGTCACGCTACGGGCCTGAACATTAATAATCATTGTTTTATAGGCTGCAGGCCCGTAGCCAGGTCATTTCAAGGGGGGTTCTCTGGGCGTGGGGTGCAGGGGCCTGCCTAAGGGCCCCGGTGGGGTCGGGGGCGAAGCCCCCGAAGCCAGAGCACCTTTTGTGTTTAATGGGTCTATATAATGTTATAAAAGCAGTTATGTTTTGAAAAAGATCTATGTAATAAAAAGGTGGTAATATAATAAAATTATAATATATTTCGTGAGTGGATTTCCCGTACGATTAAAAATCGTAACGGTACCGCATCGTGAGTGGATTTCCCGTACGATTAAAAATCGTAACGGTACCGCATCGTGAGTGGATTTCCCGTACGATTAAACATCGTAACGGTACAGGAGTTCGTGCTTCGAACAGGTCATTCCATTCATAGAAGAAATCTTTTGATGGAGAAAGTGTACTTTTTTAGCAAAGGTTTGCCTAGGTCGAAACTAACTCCGGCTATATAAAAATTGATTAGAATATTGAAAATGTTATTCGTGTTGATGAATACATAAAGATTACTAGGCCTAATAGGTTCATTTTTATTGATCTAATCTACGTGTATTTACTTTCATAGTTTATATTTAAATATTTAAAATTGTTTATAAATTTATCTAAAATACTATATGAAATAATGTCATCATTAAAATTTATGATAATAATTGATATTTAAATAATGCAAAAGATTGAAACGTTAAATACAGACACAAAGTAACAGAAAATATGTAAATCTGTAATAAAATGATATAAATTTATATATATATATATATATATATATATATATATATGCGTAAATATGTATTTAGTATAAAAAGTTAAATTTAAACGAAAATATGGAAGAAGCATAGGAAGAAAGAAGAATAGGAAAAAAAATGAAAAATGAACAATAATAATCATTTTTTCATTATTGCATCTCGTTTTTGTGAAAATAACCCACCTTAAAGGAATATATGTCGTTTTCCTCTTTGCCACAGTGGACGAAAAAAGTCAGTTATTCTACGACGTTTCGTAATTCTTTATCGCATTCCGTTCTGTTGTGTGTGTGTCTGCTGTTGAAAACAACCTTCCTAATTTTGTGACTGGCTATGATGACTGAGATGGACCATGTTGACTTATTAATAATATTTTGTTTGGGATGGAAAAAAGGAGTCAATTTCCCAAAAATGCTCCATCAGCAAATAGGGTGCGCTGTGGACAGTATGGCTATGGAATTTTCTAACCACACAGTCCAGAATCAGGTGATTAAGTCGCAAAACTTTAGCTGCATTTGGTGGATTAAGCCGCAAAACTTTAGCTTCGTTTAGTGGCGCCATTTACTCTAGGTAGACGGCGACCAGTTTCGTTACCGGTTGGTACATTCTTACAAACATTCAGGCAAAGGCCAGTCAATGTTGAGACGGGAGCCGGGTTTTTATCGATGTTTGCCATCCTTATATGTAAGCCATCGTAAATTCATAGTTTGCCGGAGTTGTGTTCAATTTAAATCTCCGAACTTCTGAAGATGAGATGTTCTATGAATGAAGGCTTGTATCGCAGGCTAGAATTAAAAAAACGGGTCACCAAATAATGAATTAGGTGCTAAATTTTGATTTAATGATGGGTAAGTTAAAAACAGACATTCCGTCCGAGTGGGACTCATTAAAAAATTTGAGGGGGTTCGCTAGAGAACAGGGGGGTTCGCTAGAAAAGGGGGGTTCGCCCGAACCATAAAAACCCCCCCTGGCTACGGGCCTGGGCTGGTGGTTGTTGGTTGGTTTCCTGGTAGAAGCATTCCAGACGCGGCCCTGTTTTTAACCGATTCTACCACCGCCACGTACAACCAGAAATATAAAAACATCGAACATCACGCCTAGAGACAGCAGTGGATAAAACATCAAGGCAAAGAAGCGTGGGCAAAATTTCGTTTTGTACAGTACATGGATTCGAAAAAAAGTGTTGGTGCTTTGTCAGTACTCTATCAAAGCCATTTTTCTAAAGTTTTCCCTGAATTTTATATAATTTTTTGTGTGAATTGTATGATGATTTTGAACAAATAAATAAATGAATGGAATAATAACAGACGAATGACTAAACGGGCGGAGCGCGAACGAATGAATGAAAGAACTGAACAGAACAAGACGGAGATATGCACTCTTGACTGCACACTCAATTATTTCAATGTAATTAGAACTTTGTATAGTATATCAAAACAAAACAGGGCCACTGTAAACAAGCCTATTAGCGGGTTACAGATTAGGCCTACACGTCTGTATTTTGGCCTCCACACTACCAGGTCAACTGTTACGTCACTTGTATTTTGATCCAGTCAGTTTGGATGTTGCCCGCTGTGCGATATCATTTTCCCTTTCCATAACAGAAAGACTATAGAAAGCAAACATCTTTGCTTTGCCAATTCTCTTATTTGAATACATTCTAAGTGCGAACACGAAAAGAATACATCACAATCCATGTACTGAATTGTATTTTAAAAATAAAATGTTTGGGCCTTTTGAACGTATTATTCTTCAAATGCAAATCGATTAATCTAATACGTACACACTTTTTATGTCTTGTTTTGCCCTTCATGGTTGCGTGTTTTAATATAATCAAATCTGAAATACAATATCAAGAATAACTCCCGGGAATAACTAATACAGACAAGCAAAGTAAACCGTTAATGACATTTATCGCAAATCTTGATCTATTCATAGTAAATTTCCGGTACTGTATATTATTTTTGTGATAATTTTGGTTCAAGAGCTCTGATCATAGGCTACAGAACAACTTATTATTATCCAAAGGATTCTCTATGATCCTCTCTCCCTTTTATTATCAATTATTTTATAACGCTCTAATTAACTATCCATATTGGCTTTAGCAGTACATTGGTTCTAATGATTATAACACCAAAATGATTATAACACCAAAAGGAGGCAAACCTTTTAATAACTTTTACAGTGTTATCAAGACGCATCCATTTGGTTTGGTTTTGCCATAGTTGCGATTAAGATAAATGTTTTAAATCAGTCGTTTTATTTATTATTATCATTATATCGGTAATCCATTATTCAATTACAACAACAGCAACGTTGTCATTGTTGATCACCCTCTTTAGTTTTTTAGTCCTCACGGTAGACTACGGTATATAAGAAAGTATAATAGGCCTCACTTAGGCCTGCTCCAAGTATTGAAAATACACACCATCGTGTTGGGATTCAATATTTCGACATTGTGTCATCATTCCTGATGATGGCATAATTATTGTCGAATTGAATCCTAACACGATGGCGTGTATATTTCAATACTTGGAGTAGCCTATATATTACACTTTCTTATGAGATTAATCAGCCCTTTCGGTTGATATTATGTGTATCGTATATGCCTATGTGTATTGTAAATATAATCGTTGACAGACATAATATTAATAGACCTATTATAGGTAGGCACTACGGTAAGACACTTCGACTTCCATCATTGGTGTGTATCATTAATTATTATTCATTGACGGTACTGCATAGTACTACTAATGTATATTTTTATTGGACCAGGCCTAGGTAGGTGCGTAGCTTGTACGCACTACAGGTATTCGTCGTATACGTCATTGGGCATGACGGTTTCAAAACGTTCAAAATGTTTGTTCCTATAATGATTAACATTAGTATATGTACGCCTATATCTACCACGTGGCACATCATACTTCCCGGTGTGTTAGTGGATGCGTAGAATAGTTACTCTTGATGCTTACACGTCGACATTACTTCATCAACAGCATGTGTTTTAAGAACGATTGTCGAGTGAGGTTAATGCCGGTGTCAAGTCAAATTGACTGCACAGTTCGAAATACTCTGTTTATTTATATATCAACAACCCCGAAAACCGAGTATTATTGGCACTGCTTGAGCGCCGGTGTCAAGTCAAAATGTGCAAAGTTCGAAAGTAGCGGAATTTTTTAATTAAAAAAATAGAGGGTTAAATGCATAATGACACCGGTTGAGCGCCAGTGTCAAGTCAAATTGTGCTTTAGTACAAAATCTATGATCAACCGCCTTGAAAGAGCTAAATGCGTAGGCACCGGTTGTAGTGCTCATCCGGCGGTTTTTTCGCAGTCTCGTCTGATGTCCCCTGTATCTTGAACCGTAACCAGTCGAAAATCTAATCGTAGGCCCAATCAGTTCATTGACTCCTTAAGTATAATATATTAGGCCTTTATATCCACCTAGCAAACCAACGTCAGTTATATTGTGGTATTTTTTTAGGTTTCCTAAACATTTCTTCTGTTTTTAATTACAAAGTAACGTAGGCCTGTATTTAATATAGCTTGTAGAGCCTTATTATCAATTTTGAATTGCTTGGCTACTTTTGAGACCTTAGAAGTTACAACTTGAAGAACGAGAAACTATTGTAAACATATTAAAGATAAAATATAATGCAGTACCTGTACCGCTCTATTTTTTTACTATTGGCTTATACAGTACGGCACGTCTGTACGGGAAACCCCGCGAAAACTGAATCGTATATAAACATTTTGTCATATATTTTAATATAATATACACGAGACATGTAATCAACAAGTGATATTTCGAATGTGTGCTTATATTTATTACTCCTAAAAAATGATCTCTTTAAAAATCAATACCAGTGTCACAGAGATATTTGGTCGACATAACTAGAATTCGGCCCCGAGCAAGGGAGTCGGCCCTTTGCCGAAAATATGCCAATTCTTAGTTTAAACTGCGCATGCCCATATCCAAGGTTTATCGTCATAAACCTATATTTTGGGCATGTTGCTTAACCTTTATACGGGCATGCGCTATTAAAAAATGAGCTTATCCAGCATGAAGGCTGTAATTTTACTGTTCCCTTGTTACACTGACTCTTGACTCACTCCTCTTCTTGTTATTTTACTTATTCTTTATAACTCATTTGCTTTCTTTTTAAAACATATTTAACAGTGAACGGTATAAACTCTTATATTTACACCTTGACAAACAATAAAATGTTTTAAAACTTGTATTCGTACAGTAACAATATATAATATAATTACAAACGACATTTCATTGCAGCATATTTCGGTAATAAAATGTTAAGTGAAATGTTTTCATATTCAGCCACGTTATTGGTCAATTTTCATCATATGACTAATCGATCGTAAGCACATATTATGGGTTAGTATGACTAATCGATTGTAAGCCCATTGGGTTAGTACACTTAGCATGTTCAGAAGAGGTACAGGGCCGAAGCCTAGCCTGAAGACACGCGTTCACATTTTTAATAAGAAACTATTATACAGGTTCTTGCTATTATACTTCTTCGTGATACATTGAAAGACAATATAAATGTGCAGCATAATTTAAGAAGTTTATTTGTGATATAATTTCTTTAAAGAAAATATATAACTACATAACGACATTCGAGACGAAATATATAATTTAACCCACCTCTCCTTGTGCACTCTAACAAAGTGTGTCATTCACTGTTTCCTATGATTGCGTTTGTATGGTGTACGCATGCGTGAAGACTCCCATGTGCATAAGTCACATAACATTTCCGACACATTTCTATTTTGAATCGTGTTGAATCATAATCATGTAAATCTAAACATTCCCTTTGATACGAGACGTTTCCCGAGACGTTTCCCATAGGTCATTTTTGATAGGCCTATCTTACAGAAAGAAATCTAAAATAAATATATATACACGTGTAGGCCTATTTTTAATGCTTTGTTTTAAAGTTATAATTTAAATGAAAAGAGGAAACAACTCCAACAATTGTTAGAACATTCTATAAACCAGTAGCGTATCTAAGAGGGAAAAAAGATCGGGAGGCCCCTTAGATACGCCCAGAATATAATCGTGTACCTCGGGTTTCCCCGCTCACTTCATTCTCGAGCTAGCCCCCCACCCCCTTTTCAATGAGTGTGAGTACGCCCACCAACTCTCGGAAACAAATATGTATATGCCAGTCAGACAATGGATCCACAGCTTCATGAAATATCTTTGGGGCGGTGTAAGGAGTTCCAGATACTTGGCAAAGGCTTCAGTAAATCCTCTCTGGCATCGCGTAGCAGATATTGCATTGGTACTTCCCTATATCCAAGCAACCGTAACACGTCCCGACAGACATCTTGGATTCCTACCGACGTTTCAAACGGGATACTATAACGCCACTCTTGCCAAGTCGCTGAAGAATTGCGGGTGACAGCGTAAGAATCTCCTCTTGAGGTCTTTGTGTTGTTTCTTAGCCACTGGACTACGTTGCGAGGAAGGCGTCCAAGACCCGCGAAATCATAAATATCTTGCGCAGTTTCTGCAGGTTTTCTTGCCATATCCTCGTACCGCACTATCTTATAAATGCCTTTCAACCAATCAGGGGTGGGTACGTTTGTAACGAACTCCAAATTTTGCTGCATTCGTAAACAAAGATATCTGACGTTATTCAATTCATCTGCCGTCATGTCCATAGGTTTTTTCTCACTTTTCGCGCGACTAATAAAAGTGCCACGTGGGTCACGTACCAGATGAATAATCTTTAAGTTAAGTGATGGGTCGCGTGCCAACGGCTCAATGTCTTGGAGTTTAGCAAAGCGAATCGTTTTAATCGCAAATTGTTTATACTTTGTACATTCCGATCGTGTAGTAGTTGATTTTAGTGCTTTACATGTCGGACGCTTCGCTGATGTCTCTTCGGGTTCACAGAGAGGCGACGAGGACAAAACTCGACTGGACATTCGATGCAAATAATTCCGACTGTAGAAATTCAATAACAAATGTTTTGGTGGGAAACGGCATTTAAAAATATCGGATATCATCTCTGTAGAATTTCCTGGAAAAAATTGTCTCGGTACCGTTTGCTCAATACTTTTAAGGGGTTCAAAATGAAAGAAAATGTTTTTATTTTGATTAAATAGTTGACCTAGAAAACTTGAACCAGACCTTCGATTAGTAACTATCAAAATATGTGTAGCAGTTTTTGGTGTAGAATAATCGTCTGCATTTTCGTCATACTTTGAAAACAATGACGGTAGAACTTGAAACCTAGGCCCATAATTGAGGATACTTCGCCGGATAATTTGAGCAAGCTGAGGGCTTTGATCAGCCGTGTTTCCCGCACCATTACCGTTTAAATCCTGCTTGCCGTGGCGAAATGAGTCTATAAAGATTTCGCTCGCAGTTTGTATCAAAGTGAAGGTAACACCAAGTACGAAAGCGTACGTGATGACGGCAAAGGAGCAACAAGCCCGGGGGCGGTAAAACATCCGACGAATATTCATGGGCACTGAAAAAAAAAGCAGACGACAATTAGCATAGGCTTAAAAATATCAAGTTGTCATGACGTCACACAATCATTCAAGGGAAATTGTAGGTGCGGTGCGTCGGTTAGTATAAACCCAGGACAAGACGTTCATGTACGTATATAATTGTGGTTTAGTAAAAACGAATTTTTGATACTTGATTTTATGATAATACGAGATGAAAGCCGGTAACTTTTTATAACTCATGTGCGAAACATATTTAACCCTGTAAAACCACAGAAGCTGTTAGTCCGTGACAGGTGACAGGGTCATACGACGACTGTGGTATTCTTGTAAAGATTGTACTGTGCGTTCTATGCCTTCAGTTGTTTAGATTGCATTCTAGGTATACTGTACTTAACTCTATAAAAATACCACATACTACGCTGTTTTCACCAGAAGGATGTATCCTTCCGTTCATTCAACAACCGAGTGTCTGCGATTCAATCGATTCAAAATTAGAATTCACCTCAAAGCACCCTTTTCTAAACTAGTCTACCACTGCAGCCTTGGACTTTCTGCTGTCTTGCCTGGCCATGGCATAGAACAATATTGTTGTATAACATAGAGGTATAACCATCCGTATAACCAGAAATAATTTATTTCATTACCTTCATAAATTGGTTGACCAAGGAGGAATAGCTTCTCTTATCTGATCTAATCATTGGACACGTCACTGATCGGACGCTAGGCGTCCCACTGGTCCGGACCTCAGGACTTGTTGAACCATGGAGGTATGGTTGAACCCACTAATGATATCCAGAATGCCCCTCACGGACTTTCGATAAGTTCCCTATTCCCAATCAAGAGAAACAGGACATGCAAGACAAGAACTTGCATAGGCCTATATTTAAAGACATGACTTTCCTAATGGCTCAAAACCGGCCTCGACAGCCATACATTAAAATGGCAAGACACAATTTTACCGTGATATGTTTTATTGCATTCATCAATTTGTACAATTCATCTTCTAATAGTTACAATAAAGGGTGGTTTGATAATTTTGTCCTCTTCCCAATGCTATATAAATCCGGTAAAAAATTAATTGACAACAGCAGGAAAGATCATTAAAATGCTGAAAATGGCAGAGATAAGCCTACACTAAAGCTTAGAGAAATCGCAGGACCAGGAGCATAGCTACAGTACGACTAAAACAGATAGAGGGTTAGTGGTACGTTATAAGGTTCAGGGGTCAGTGGAACTAACACGATGTAGATCGTGTTTTGTTTAGTGTTAAGCTTGTGTCGCCCTTATTTTATTACTCACCCTTGTCATACGTTTCATTAGGTTCTAATATTATAGTAATCGAGTGTCAGCGGCATAATGAGCGATGCTGAAGATTGTTAACATAAGTTTAGAAGGTGAGAGGTCATATCAAGGCTAAATTGACACAGTGGTCAGTATAATTTCATAAACTTGCCATAAGGCGATATATTTTGCGGTGCTGCGTTCATTGAGGTAAAATAATACAAATACAGTACCTCCATCCGTTTATAAACCCATGTTTCTGTGGAGAAAATTTATTTCATAATACTACATAGTAGCGACACTACAAATATTTTTATCATCGAAAATATGAGCATTTAAAATTTGTGTTTGCGTATTTATTATGTCCTATTTTATATTTAAATTTATGCTTACGTTGTACCTAGGGTCTGTGGTTGTACACACCGCAAAGGTGTTATGGAGCTTGTATCTGGATAAAATCCATATAGCATAAATAGCAATCTAGTGGTAGATGATAAGAACCGGGAGTAACGGTGGAAACGAGGCAGTGGCGTATCTATGTGGGCGCAGGGGAGAGGGCAAAGCCTTCTTAAATAAGCTCCCTGGTCTCCCCGCGACCCCCACTTTGAAGCAAAACAATTAAAGTATTTAAAAAAGTAATTAAAAAATCACCTCATATTACCTTACTGTATTTGGATGCAGCGCCCCTTCACTATATCATCGAGCCCTCCCACTTCACCTTCGACTCCACCAGCCCCCCCCCCCATCCTATATGTAAGTCCTTTGGTAGAATCGAATGGAAGTACTGTATTGTTAGCTGGTACTTATATTATGATATGTGGACACATTTTAGTTCAGGGCCACCCATTATACACAAGACCTACATAGCAAGTGCAGGGAAGGGGTAAACAGTGCTTGTACCTTGAAAATAAAAAAAAATCTCAAATTGTAAATTTTATTTATGTACTCTAGAGGAAGGGAGAGGATCTCAGTAACAAAAAACGAAAAACGATTTTCAATGTAATGTAGTGAATTTTGAATGTTTTGTTATTGAATTTCTTCTTATTGTATTGATATTTTAAATAAATTTTATCTCGATCCTGTGGAAGAACGATTATTTAATCGAACAAGTTTATTTGTATTTTTGTGCTTTTAGTTTCGAGTTGAAATAGAGTTTATATAAAAAACTTTTTGTATTCTCTTAAAAAATAACGAAAAATAGCTTACAATACCCCTTAGGTTTGTGTATGCCTACTATTTAATACGGTGGATACTGTTACAGAAAAGGTGACGATCCATTTGAACCCAAACTACTCCAAGCATAGGGCACCGACAGACAGAGAATTATAGATAAAGACGGATGGTGGTGTTGTTATTTTAAGAAAGTGAACTCGAATTATGTTATTTTAAGAAATTGCACATCACGATAAATTAAAATTTTCTTAAATCGTTGTCCCCAATTTAATGTAGTTAAGTCTAATCTTAATTCACGTTGGAAAAAATCACGGAGGTATAATTACACGTAGGCCTACATTTCCAATGTTCAAATCAAAATCAAAGGAGGTGCTATCAACTTAGATGCTAAAGCAATTTGTTAAGCATTGGGGTATAATTAGAATAATTAAGACGAAGTCACGATTATATTCATACGCAAACAAGACTGAAGGGCAGATCACTATGACTTTTGATCCCGTCTTCGTTATTTCACACGGATGACGACACAAAGGGCGAAAATTAACGACTTCCGACACCTTCATTTATTAGTAGTAAAGTACATGCACACTTTCGTGCCAAAAAACATAACTTTCCATTATTTAGTAGCTTTCAAATATTTTGAGCGATAAAATATTTTCCTCAGTTTCGGTAATACCGGTAACAGACTGCCAAGTAGAATACGATAATTTAGAGAACAATTTTTTTTTTCAATCTGTGTGTCTCATTGATGAAGGTAATTCATTATTTTATCATTTTCGTATTTAAAAACAAATAATACTGCATCATCGGTAGGCTATGCCAGGCTAGCCAGGCCAGGCTGTCCATGGCCGTGCTCAATGCAAACACAAGATTTCCCGTCGAGGAAACGATTGCAATTAATCTAATCATGCATGATGGTCGGTTGGATCACAGATCTCTGATTTAATAGCTCTCTATCATCGGTTTTATTTCATTGTTCACTTCACAACGGAAGTGATGGCTTCATAAAAATCGCCTTCAAGCTATACTTCAAATTAAACAATGTTGAAGGCCATCACAATCAAAAGATAAGTGCATTTTATTAATTAATAATATGAAGTCACTTTAATTAATTTGACATGTCACTCCCGCATGACCTAACAATCGACCAGGCCATAAGTTACTGTTCCAATTTTTAGTGCCTCCCGGCTTATTTTTCTTGAATTTAAAGGGTGTCAAACTGCAACTTTCCCCGGGCATTTTAGCAGGTGGTGCGTATCGAGGTTAAATCAAGCACACCGGCTAGGCCTAGAATTGAGATCACGATAGATTATTATGTCATGCTCTTTAAGTTCTTTTCATTATGTACATATGTAGACAAGCATAATTTGATTTTAAAGACGGATTTTCCTATTTCTTGATACATGCAAGTTAGTCAAGTTCAAATCCAGACGGATTGAGCACTCTTTTCCTGATGATTGACTCAAGTTTTAGGC